ACACACACACACACAGTATGTCTGTCTGTTTGTGTGTGTGTGTGTGTGTGTGTGTGTGAATGTATTTATATATCATAAACAAAATTCATAAATTAATCATTAATAAAAATAGTTTTCTTGTTTGTTCATGTTAGTTAACAAATGGAACCTTATTGTAAAGTCTAAAGTCTAACTAATGTCTGTTTGTGTAGCGATTTATTTGCATTTTTGGTTTCAAAGAAGTAAATTCTATTCTATTCTATTCCATTATATTCTATTCTAACCTCTTTTAAGGCAAACCACACAATTCTCAATTATTACTTCAGAGACATAGAATAATTATATTCAGTAATCTTATACGGCTTTGAAATATGTATTGTGACAGGTGTTACACAAATAAATTGAAAAACGAGAAACATGAATAATACCTTCTTAATTGTCTCTCAGAGAGGTGATGCGTCCTGATGTGATGGAGGAAGTGATCGTGTCGTGCGTCGTAAAGCACCTGGGTCTGGTGGATGCGCTGCAGTCGCTGGTGAACTTCCAGTACAGAGAGATGCACAGAGAAGAGCACAACCTGCTCTGCAAAATCATGGCCGAGACCTTCAAGAAGATCAATGCAATGGAGAGACAGTTACAGGTGTGTGCTACAGCAGCCACAGATGCAGCGCTCCTCATATGCATGCTGTGTGATGCTGTTATTATCTCATATGCATGCTGCGTGATGCTGTTATTGTCTCACACGCATGCTGCGTGATGCTGTTATTGTCTCACATTGTTATTGTCTCACATGCATGCTGCGTGATGCTGTTATTGTCTCACACGCATGCTGCGTGATGCTGTTATTGTCTCTCATGCATGCTGCGTGATGCTGTTATTGTCTCATACGCATGCTGCGTGATGCTGTTATTGTCTCACATGCATGCTGCGTGATGCTGTTATTGTCTCACACGCATGCTGTGTGATGCTGTTATTGTCTCACGCATGCTGTGTGATGCTGTTATTGTCTCACGCATGCTGTGTGATGCTGTTATTGTCTCACATGCATGCTGCGTGATGCTGTTATTGTCTCACATGCATGCTGCGTGATGCTGTTATTGTCTCACGCATGCTGTGTGATGCTGTTATTGTCTCACATGCATGCTGCGTGATGCTGTTATTGTCTCACATGCATGCTGTGTGATGCTGTTATTGTCTCACATGCATGCTGCGTGATGCTGTTATTGTCTCACGTGCATGCTGTGTGATGCTGTTATTATATCCTGCATCTGTGTTTGTTTCAGAGTGTAGCTGAACTGGAGCAGAAGTGGCAGAATGAAGCAGAAGAAGCTCAGCAGGGCAAACTGGAGAACAACTCTCCCTTCTTCCACGACTATCACTTCTTTGAGGTCGGTAATCTGAGACATATAATCGTTATCCTTGTGAAAAGAAGTACACTTGGCATAGTTTCAAAAAGAGTACTTATTATGGAATAATATACTTTAAAAATGTGCAATAAATTTAATGTTTTTAGACACTTAATTGCATGTTAATTGCAATTAAATGAAAATGTATTGTAGTTTAAATTTATATGAGATGCAATTAACTGAACTTTAGAGTGATTTTTGACCTCTATGTAATTACTTCTATTGTCTTTGAAATATGGTTAAAGTACTGTTCAATGTACTGACAAACATTTATGATAAACTAAAATATGCTTTGATGTCATTTCTATTGCAACTTGTATCTCGTGTATTTAAATATATTAACGCTAAATGTAATATAGAATAACACACTAGTTAAAATTACTATTAAAAAGTACTTTCCATGTGCTTTAGTATGCAAGTCAACACATCAAAATAAGTGCACTTCTTTACAGCGTGACAAAAGATTATTGAAACATAATGATTTAAAATGTATTTTAAAGAAACATATTTTTTGACATTAATTACAAAAATTACTTCTATTGTCTTTGAAATATGGTTAAAGTACTGTTCAATGTACTGACAAACATTTATGATAAACTAAAATATGCTTTGATGTCATTTCTATTGCAACTTGTATCTCGTGTATTTAAATATATTAACGCTAAATGTAATATAGAATAACACACTAGTTAAAATTACTATTAAAAAGTACTTTCCATGTGCTTTAGTATGCAAGTCAACACATCAAAATAAGTGCACTTCTTTACAGCGTGACAAAAGATTATTGAAACATAATGATTTAAAAAACATATTTTTTGACATTAATTACAAAGGTCACTTTCTAAAAGTGTACATAGAAACATAATCATGAAAGTGTCTCTCTTTAAGTCACTTAAGTGGCCTTTTATTTCATCAGTACAATATGTGACCCTGGAGCACAAAACCAGTCATAAGGGTACATTTTTTAAAATTGAGATTTGTGCATCATCTGAAATCTGAATAAATAAGCTTCCCGTTGATGCATGGTTTGTTAGGATAGGAGGACAATATTAGAGATACAACTATTTGAAAATCTGGAATCTGAGGGTGCAAAAAAATTAAAATATTGAGAAAATCATCTTTAAAGTTGTTCAAATTAAGTTCTTTGCAATGCATATTACTAATCAAAAATGAAGTTTGTATATATTTACAGTAGGAAATTTACAAAATATCTTCATGGAACATGATCTTTACTTAATATCCTAATGATTTTTGGCATAAAAGAGAAATGTATAATTTTGACCCATACAATGTATCGTTGGCTATTGCTACAAATATCCCCCAGCGACTCAACACTGCTTTTGTGCTGCAGGGTCACATATGATCTGCAAGTACAGCTTTCAAAAATATACTTCTAAGATTTAAAGTACCTTATAAGGGCACATTAGCCGCTTTTCCTCTGTCGGGCCAGTCCTTTCCTTACTTCACCAACAAAGAAAAGTTATCAGAAAACTAATCAGAAATAAATCACTGGAGCTAGCGCAATCACAGAGCGGACGTGATAAAAGCGGCCATTTGTTTGCATTTTTTGTTGTTTTCTTAAAGATGTATAACCAACGCATTGATGTTTTACCAGTTTTACAGCAATAAGTGATGCATCATAATGAATTCATTTGTCAGGATTGAAAATTAGTCACACAGAAATATTGTGGTATTTACCGTTATTTCACAAAAGAAAGAAGACGTACTTATTCAGTCGCGTCTGTTTCTGTTTATTTGCAGTTACAGTAAGTACATCTCAATTAGAAAGAATAATCGGGTATAAAGAGATGAGACTTACTGACAGATAAAATATGCAACTAAATACACACACGATTTGTCATATTTACCATGTTTACTCCGGTAATGGCTAGCGTGCATGGTCTTTTGCATCGCATATAAATATTTTTGCCTCGTATGGTTGCCATAATCCACATCGGATCGCGAAGAGAAGTTATTTCAATCACCCGCTGCTGTCCGAAAATGAGTTTTGAGCAACACTTATTTTAAAAGTCTGGTGTTATAGCTGTTAACTGTATGAAATGATCTAGGTTCTAGGGATATGCAAGGTATCAAATATTCATGTTGCGATTAATTGCTAATGCTTTTATCACGGTATACGGTATTATCACGGCATTGACATTTAGTTGCAAAATTGAGTGTCGTCATAATACAGTATTACATTTTAATAACTTTTTTCTTATAACACAAATAACTGAACATTTAAATACAATAAAGCAATACAAAAAAATGTATAAAGTTAAAAATTTTACACAGATTAAAGTGTGTTACATATTCATTATCGTGATATATCGCATTACTGAATACCGGCACATGTCTACTTTGTTCATAACCACTCCTCAAGCCCCCAAAAATCCCCAGCCGTCGCCCATCGACAGCCATTAAGTGTACTCGTGCAGAATCGCCAGTTCCTTTAAAGAGTAATAGAGCCATTTGTACTTGTACTTGTACTTGAGTGTGGGAATTGATCCACTGTATTCAGTGGTTTGATTCTGCTTATGCTGTAATTGCACAGATTGATTCTTTTGGTTTGTCGTGTGGCCCACAGAACAAAATGAAGGAGCTGGAGCTTCTGTGTTCACTGAAGGAGGTTCCTCTGGATTGCACGGATCCAGAAAACGCTGTGATGGCTCTGAGGTATGATGTGAAACACGTTCTGACTTCATCTACGCTACTGTTCAGAAGTTTGGGATTAGTACGTTTAAAATTTTTTTTTTAAAAATTAATGTTTTTTCTTCGCAAGGATGCTTTAAATTAATCAAATAAAGATATTTATAATGTTACAAAATATTTCAGTTTTTTATTAAATCAGTGCAGCCTTGGTGAGCAGAAGAAACCAGTGTTATTGTAGTGAACACTAAAAGTGAAATTAAAACTAAAACCATAAAAAAATCGTTACTTGAAATAAAATAGATATTAACTGACATAAAATATTTTAATAAAATATATTTTTTTAAAGTTGTGTGTATATATATATATATATATATATATATATATATAT